GGGCGCCGGGCAGGGGCAGGACAGGCGGACAGCCTGTGTCGGCGCGGGAGCGCGGGGGCAGAGGGGTATGTACATGGGCAGCGAGGGGCAGAGAGCGGTCCAGCTTGCTTGATCCTGTTTGTTTTCCAGTGTGAAACAAGGTCCATGACTTTGCTTAAAGTGGTTAATTGGTATTTTTTGTCTTTTTTTTTGAAAAAAGGGGGGGAGTGGAGGGTGGGGGAGGTGGGAGAGGGAAGGAGGGAAGGGGAGCAGGGAAAACCGGGAGCAACCCCCACCCTGTTACCCTGGGCTGTAAACGAATCCTCGGAGACAAGTCTCTGAGCTGCTCAGTTCTCGGGCATCTTACTGGCTCCCGCCTTCCGGTGGCTCGGGGGCTTGGGGACGCGCTCCTCCCCGTCGGGGCTGCAGCGGGAGCCTTCCCAGTGCTCTAGCGTTTTCTTGTGATTAGTCTTTGCTGCCACGCTCTCTCTGCCTTTCAGGGACGTTTCCGGAGGTCTCTCCTTGGGTTTCCTCCCCCTTTTCTTCCCGCTTGTGCTTTTCTTTTTCTCCTCCTTGCTGGAAGAAAGCTGTTCCCTGCTTTTCTTTTTCCGGCTGGCCTCGGCGGAGGTCCGGAACCAGTTCTGCGTCCGGGGGGAGACCAGGGCGGCTGGTTAAGGACCTTCCTCGGACGGCGCGGCCCCTCGGGCCGGACGTGCCCACCACATGCCGAACGCTGCTGCTCCTGCCCTCCTCCCCGCGGTCGGGCAGGACGCCCGTCCCGCAACTTGCAACTTGCTGCCATCGCCCGACGAGAAGCAGAGGCCTCTCCAACAAGAAGCCGGTGGGTGCTGAGCAGCCACGGCCGGCCTGGGGGCATCAGGGACCTGAAGGGGGCCAGCGGGGTCCCCCCCAGCGTGACAAGACTGTGTCAGGTCTGCGCCACGTCGAGAGCCCGTTGCAGCGCTGCTGCTGCTGACCAGCGATGCTGCGCGCCGCGCAGGCAGGACGGAGGGGGCGGATGGCAAACGCGGGCTCGTTTTAGCAGGGAACAGCCCAGGCCAGCCCCAGCCACCTCCTTACCTCTGAGTGAGCCTTGATGATGTGGTACTTCACGCCGCTTTCGGAGCTGAACTCCTTCTGGCACAGGAGGCAGCGGTACTTGCCGACCGAGTGGTCCCCCTGCAAGACAGAGCATCTTCCTGCAGCCCGGAGCAGAGCCATGTATGCCCCGAAGGAGCCGCTTCCCCTGCCTTTCCCCCAGCCACAGACCTCTGTGAAAGGAGGCATGAAGCGATGGAAAATAAACGTTCATTTCCAATACATAAGGTCTCTGCTGGCCCTCGGTCCCAGGCCAGGAGCTCACAACTGCAGCAGGTCTCTGCTCCGACTTTCAGCCTACCTAGGCAGTGTTAGCAGGGCTGCTAATGTCACGGCGTGAGAAAGAGCCGTCGAAGCGCGGGTTCCTACCAGCTCGGAGGGTGGTGAGCGAGGGGGTTTTGCTGTCCATGCTTTATGAACACCAGCTGTTGCATTACCATCGACACCGTGCGCGTGTCCACGGGCGTGCAGGCACGTGTGCGGGAGGCTAACGCGGTCGAACGCCCCATTTCCTCGCTGTCAGCAAAACTGCGATCTACTGGGATTGAACAGTCATCTAATTTACGTCCAACAGACTCACCTAGTTTTCCTTTTACGCTGCCAAAGAGGTGCAGCAACTGCTGGATTTCTGTCATTAGAGCCCTTGTAAGAATGACTGATCTCTCTGCACTGCCTCAGTTCACAGCACAGGGGAGATAATGTGCTCTCTATTGACTAGGGGCTTATGGATGGGTCCCTTCAGGCAATATATATACTCTGGGGGAATTTCTCCATAACTCGGTCCGGGCTGTAAATCTGAAGTTAGACAGGTCTTTCATTTCCCAGACAGGCAGTGCGGGGCAGGCCTGGCCCTGCTGCAAGCCACCTTCATAAATACTCACGCAAAAAATCACCTCAGCTCATCAATCCCTTCTGAGGATGGGGCAGTGCCTGGGAGTCTCTTTCGCCCTTGTTAAAGCTTGATGTATTTCAACCGGTTCTTTAGGATTTTACAGAAAAGATCACTCAAGCCAGCCCCAGAGGGGCTGTGTGAGTTGCTCTGGTTTTGCCCTGGCTGCATACACACATATCCACTGCAAAGCTGAACTCGTACTACCAAAACTCTTGGTGACCGCAGCAAAGTCTACCTGCGTGGTCTGCAGTGGGTGCAGGCAGAGCCCCCGGGCAGGGACCCACAGCCCCAGGCTCTGCGTCTCGCAGCGGGAGCCGCCCTCGGCACCTGGGGGCCCCGCAGCCCCTGCCCTCGCTGCACCCCGTGCCTGCAGGACGGCCAGCCTCCGGCCCCCGAACGGGGTATGCTGGACTTGCCAGACCTGGGCAATGCAGTCACGCGTTTTAAAAAAATGCTTGTGCAAATGCCTGGCTGCTTTCTGCACGCAGGTACCAAAGCAGTGACAATGGCACTCATGGATGAGCAAGCCAGGCTCCCCCAGGACGTGCCAGGTGTGCTGGTGCATGCAAGGCAGTGTTAATGCAGGCCTGCGCCAACCTCAGAGGCTCCATTTTCTCCCCAAGACTGTTGGCTCGTGGGCTGCCTGATTCTGCACGCTAGCAAAGGAACTGCTGTAGTCTCCCATGTTTGAGCTTTTATCCTGCATAAACCCTGCTTCTTCTGCTGGATCTCTGCAGCCTATTTGCTAAGTGATCTCATTAGGGGTTGATGTTCCAGCTAGCGCTGGTGGAGTGCGGGAGTTTGTGTTTTTAATAACCACAGGGTATGTACTGGAGCTGCCTCCTGGAAGCTACATTCAATGGAAGCTGCAGCTGGAAGTGTTTCAGGGTATAAAGCTTTACTAGCTCTTACTGAGTTCCAATTCGAGGGACCTACGCTGAGCTCCTGATGTCTCCTCCTGTGGTGGCTGCAGGCCACTGGAGCTCATTTACTGCTCTATCTAGCGAGAGGAATAGTGCTCGCGTCCATGGGCACCCAAGTCCCGAGACAGACCATTTGCCTTTTCCATCCCGCGGACGCAATGCACCACTGCGCACAGGCTGCTTATCCGTACAGATTCCAGAGGGGCTGCAGGGTTTCATGCCCAAATCCATGGAGAAAGCGCCCTAACTCCCATATCCCTTGGAAAAGGTTCAGCTTCCAAGCTTCCCTCCTTAGCTCTGAGCTCTGTGACGCACTGCTGCACACGTTTGGTAGCCAGAGCGGCAGCTCTGTCCTGCCCTGGAGGACAGTGCAGAGGCAAGCGGCTAGGCCAGGCCACGGACCGGGATGGCACAACAGGCCAAGTTATCACAACTCGTAGCTGGCCCCAGCCAGCAGCCGCAGGAAGGTGGTCATGACATTTAACCTGTGCCATTACCCCTTGGCCTGCTTTTTCCAAATGAGAAGGGGGCAGAGAAAGACGAGAGCCACCTCCATCTCAGAGCCAAAGCCGTAAGAAGGGGGACTTACCTTGTTGCAGTTAGCTAGGTGAGCTTTCAGCCCGGAGACGCTGGAGTAAATGGCTTCACAGCACTGCGGAAAGAAAAAAAGGAGGGTTTGCCACGTTTCTGCATCGTCTCCTTGCCTTCCTCCATCCCGTGGCCAGGAGCCTGCTGCGCCAGCAAGGCCACCGGTCCAGGCTCATCAGTGTGAGGTTAATGCTCTGCAAGAGGCAGAGGGGTCTAGTCACACGTTTCCTATTAGTGCTAATGGAAGTCATGTGGCCACATCCCTCTGCAACAGGCTGAAAAACGTCTCCCGTAAACGTCTCCGTGGAAAACGTACATTTGTGAGCAGTCAGGAGGCCCTGCTGGGCTACAGGAGTTCTTGGAGCCACAGCAGACGCTTAACGGAGAAGAGAAATCACCCAGGCAGCGGCATGACCAGTTTCTGAGCAACGTCTTTTCAAAGTGCCTGTGTATGACATTAATTAGCCAGCGCATCTCCCCCGGCCTTGCGGTAACAGCCCCGTTCAACATTCCCATTACCAAGGCTTTGTTTCAGAACATAAATCAATGGCCCAGCGCGAGGGTGGAGTTCACCTCCCTGGGAGCTCAGGCCAAAGCCGCGTTTTACAGCGAGATGAAGCACACACACCATGTCCCGAAGGTCTGTGCCTACCCACGTATCTTAAGAAACAGACTTAAAACTGGTCCCAGCTTTACTCTGCAAGAGGCAGGTGCTCTATGTAAAAAGGCTCTTAAGCACAGACAGTGCAGCCTTTACTCTGTCCTGATCTTGAGAACTGCCCAAAGGCAGCTCCAGAGCCCAAATCGAGCAATCCAAGCTGAACCATCAGCCCAAGAGCACCCGCTCCCACCAGCGGACAGGGTGCCCCTGCGCCCTAGCTGCCTCTGAAGCCTCGAGAGCCTCGAGAGTGGCAGGAAGCTCCCATGGATGGGACATGCTTCAAGTAGCCACCGCAGCAACTACAGGGAGATCAGGTGAAATGGGTGTCTCAACAGTAACCAAACCCCACCGTGGCTTCACTGCCAGCTTCCTCCAGGGGCTGAATAGCAACCTGCCTTTGGTGGGTTTCTGCCCCGAAAACTCCCCCCTCCTAGTGCAGCCTGCAACCAGGCCATCCTGGAGAAGAACAGAAATGGTCCTTACGTTGTTGGGACAGTTGATGTGACCCTTCTCCTTCACTTCGTTCTTCCAGTTTTCCAAGAGCCTTGGATTTAGCTTGGGAAGTCCTGGTCGGGTGTAATTGAGCTGCGAACAATAGAACACGATTAGCAGAGCGGCACATACCAGTCCCAGCCTCAGCGGAGTCCTTGGTCCGCACACAGGGTCTGCCCCCCCGGAGAAGTGAATCAGAGCTGAAAACTAGTTGGGAGGCTTCCCCCGAGGTGTCATCGGCCCTGAGCCCCACGCAGCCCAGTGGTGGGTGTCCCTGCTGCCATGCCACTGGCAGGCAGGCAGCAGAGCTGGAGGACGGCGGTGGCAGAGGAGCACGGCAGAAACCGCCTGTGCTACGGCCAGCTCTGAGCCGCGCTGGGAAACCTCTCGCGTTCGGAGGAGAGATGTCCCGGGGTCTGCTCTCCCATCGGCTGAAGGGGGGCTAGGCCCGGGCCCAACGTTTTGGGGGCATTGCTTTGGAGTGGCCCTTCTGCTGTGTTTCATAACTGGCAGAACGAGCAAGCCTGCATGCTGGGCAGAGGGGACGGCTGCCAAGTCTGAAGAGCCTCCATGGCTGCCTTCCACCGATTAATGGGTATAACCCATTAAACAATGAAAGACTCTTGTGTCTCTGTTTCTCCTTTTGGCAGAGCTGCTCTTTCCAAGTGCTTTTAATTACTGCTTTATTAGCGACTTTGAGGCTTAGCATAGCAGGCTGGCCCTTCAAACTCCATTTCTGCCTGCTCAGCACGTGCAATCATGTCGGTGGCATCTCCACGCCATGCGATCGTGTAGCTTACCCGCACCTGCAGGGCCTGCTTTCTGCCTGGCGCTGCAGAGCTGCCTCCGGAGGTGCCAGCGGGGCAGCCACAGCGAGGTCCACATGGGAAACAAGATGCTCTGCCTGTGACCTGAGCTGCCTCTCAGCCACAGGACTACATTAGCACAACTCCCGGCCTCATCAAACAAGCTCTGCTAGGACCAAAGGATGCTCCTTGGGTCCCAAAGCCCAGGCTTTCCCCACGGCACAGCACGGCCCGGGTGACTTGCACTGGCGATGTACAGGCCAAGGTACTCGATGCCCAAGTAGCTGCTTCCCTACTCGGGTACCACCGCGGCCTTTGCACCCGCGTCCCCACGCATGCCAAGCGCTGAAGGACACGGCCGCAGCACCTCCGGCACGTCGGTCTATCTATCTGTGCTCGCCTAGGAGGAAGCACAGAGAAACCACGCTTGCAGAGAGGTGCAGAAACAGGCTGTGTTTTAAAACGTGCCCCTAGGACTCGGAGCTCACATTTCCGACGACGTGGGAAGCAGCTGGCTGTATTTCTTTCCCAGCTGTGACTTTTCCTGAACATGCTGATAAGCCGTGAATTTGCCGTCGTCCAGCTGGGCTGGGGTAACTCGCCTCCCCTGAACAGACTGCTCTGAAACCTCCGCTCCCTGAAAAGGCAGCTCCCACTGCGACCGCAAGACTTGCGACGTGGAGGGCTGGCCTCAAGCACAGCCCTTTTATTTTCACACAAACTTAAGTGAGAGGCGAGCGCGCGCTCCCCCTCTGCCCCCATCTCGGCACACCAGAGGAGCACGAGCGGAGGAGAAAGGGAGCCCGGAGAGATCTCGCTCCTGGAGAGGGGCAGGGGCATGGGGGCTTGCGAAACAGCGGCGTGAACGGTTATGAGGACGGATGTGGAAAAATCCCCCAAGCCCCAGCGTGCTGCTCTTCCGTCGTGCTTTGCAGCTGTGGAAGATGCCAGCACAGCGCTTTGATGCGCTTGGATGGTGCATCTACCAAGCGCCTGGTCCACCGCCCGGGGAAGGCAATGCCACCTCCGGGGGAGAACATAGGAGTCCCTTTTTGTCATTGATCCTGAGAGCTGGGATGCCAAACAGCCTCCCTAATTAAAAGCCAATCAATCCCATGAATGAGCAAACATTAATGGCAACCGCATACAGCCCCAGCAACAACCTCTCCCTCCGCGCGTCCCCAGGGAGGAGGCGAGGGGGGATGTTCGGAGATGCGGATTCTGCTGCTCTGGCTTCCCACTCCAGGGAAAAACCCTCCCCGCTTTCCTCCCACAGGCACTGCACAATAACATGCAAATCCCTGTCTTCCTGGGGCGCTGCGGTTCTGCGAATGTCAAAGTCATCTTTATATCTCTATTAAGAAGGTGCCTCAGGCGTGGAATATTTTATTTTTTTCCATTCATTTTCCTCAAACAGCCTATAAGTGAAAATCTTTATGGCCAAATCATTAAATGACTACAACTGGTTTTGGCCACAGCCCATCTCTTATGAACAGTCGAAGGACGCTGGGGTGGGAAGGCTTGTTTTCTTTGACTGACAGTTTTATTTAATTAACTTTCATATTTTCAATCCTCTTGCTCCCTACACAGCTCTCCCCTTCCCCAAAATATATCGCAATAAACGAGAACCATGCACGCTGCCTTGGCCCAAGCCAACAAACTGCAATTCAAGCAGGCCTCCTGAGTTAGAGAGGTTCCTAGCGCAAGACACGGCGCTCTGATCACCGAGCGTTCCCTGGTCCCAGGGAAACCACAGCTAATTTTGTCTGGAAGGCAAAGGCAAAATACATCCAACAGCTTTGGCTGAGAGCTGGTTCCGATACACCGTTCTGGACGCTTCTGTCACCGAGTCAGCTCTTGTCAGCGTGGCGAAAAAGGAAGGGTACAGCCCAACCGAGCTCTCACCTAGAGACCTCGGCTCAGACCCAGTTTGGTCCACCAGCGAAACGAGCCTGCAGGGCTCAGCCTGGCTCCTTGACTCGCCAGCCTCTGCCCAGATCACAGGGCCATTGTTCTGGGGGATAATCCTGAGCCAAACTCTTCTGGTCTGGAATTTATTCTGCTTCCACAGTGAGGTTTGCTTAAAAAACCAAGCCCAAAGACGACTTTTGCCTTTCTGCTTTATGATCGGCCTACACCAACCCTTCGCTGCAAACAGCCCTCTCTTCCCACCCCTGGAGCACCCAAGCTCTGCCAGGACTTTACAGCCAGGGCTCCCGGTGTCTGCCCCAGCCGTGTGCTGTGAAAGCAGCCTGGCCCTGGGGCAACACGGACCCCGATCTGCACAGAGGCGCTGAGAGACCTGTGGGCTAGGAAATGGGTCGCGCCTGCACTTCTGTGCAGAGCTGAGACTCACACGCTCTGCGAGTGCCAGCGCTGCCTGACGTGGCTGGGGCTCGCAGCAGCCCCTGCGGGAACCCAGCACCTCCTGCCCGGAGGAAGCCAGAGGGGACCCGACCCTCCTTTCTTGCCACGTGCCTACACGAGGCACTCCACCTTGAGCAACCCATCATTAACGCAGCAGTCTAAGGCAGCACGAGGAGCTGGTCAGAGCAGGCAGTCGCTTCTCACCATGCATGAGCACAAAAGCAAACCGCTCCCAAAAGAGCCTCGGTGAGGCCGGAAAGGAGCGACGTGCCGGGGCAGAACCCCCGCCGGAGCCGGGGCTCGCTGCAGCGCAGCCCAGGAGCCAGCTGGGCGCGCGACGCACGCACATCCCTCCCGCAAAAGCCCCTGGCAGCGCAGACTCTTCCACAGGGGCACCGGGAAAGCATCAAACCATGAAATAACTGGATTTCCATGGCATTTTCTCCTGCCTTGCCTGTTAGATGTTTCTGCCCTCTGCTCCAGGAGGCTCTTTCTCTCAGTCAGTACTCCAGAGCGGGTAGGGGAATCACCCGCCGCCCTAGACACGGGTAGGTTATGCCCATTTGGCCCCGGCAAAGGCCAGCGGAGGGTCGGAGGATTGACAATGTCTTCATGGGGCTTCTGGAAAGGGAACTTTTCCCAGAAAAGCAGCAGGGGTGTGCCCTCCCCCATCTGACAACCCCAGCAAGCAGCCGTTGTGAAATACCCCATCTGCTTCAGCTTATCCAGAGGCAAATAAAGATCGGAGCGAGAAAATAAGACTCCAGTGTATATTTAGAAATGCTGGATTTGGTTAGTGCAGAAGGGAGGCATCCGAGGGCCTGGGATCCAAGCAGCAATCGTTTATTCTGATGCCATTGCTTTGGTGCGAAGGAATCCGTTCTCTTGGGGAAACGCAAACGCATCCCACCACGGGCCACCAACGGGATTCGAACCCAACCTCCCCTCCCTGGGCAAGACCGGCTCCCATCTGGCCTGGAAGGGGAGGGCCGCGCGGGGCCGGGCCTCCTGGGAGGTGAGGGCCCACGAGGGAGCGCAACGCGCCCGGCGCGACAGGCACGGCTCACGGGAGACGTGGGAGCTGGCGAGCCCGCCGGCTGGCTGAGGAGCTGCACGCCCTCCCCTGAGGTTTCAGGGGGGATCGTTGTGCACCAAGTCGCTCCAAGGAAAATCCTTGCTGCCCGGAGAAGCGATGGAGGTGGGAGATGGCCTCCTTCATCAGCTCCCTCAAAATCCCCTCTGACAGGGGGACCGCAGCAGGCAACAGTGTAGAGAGTTTGGGGACTGGTTGGTTTTGCTCCGATGCAAGCGGTGAAAAAAAAAAAAAAAAGAGGAAATTCCTAGGTCTTGCTGAGACAGCCATTGGTGCAGCAGCAATTCGCCGCTCCTCCCTGACATCCCACCTTTCTGCAGGTACAAGCCAGCGAGGGCCCCGTAGCGGCCGGGTGCAACTCTGCAGCGTCCTCTGAACGGCCAGGTATGGCCCGTGGGAGAAGAGGAGGCAGCAGGAAAGGTTGGCTCTTTGCAACAAGGTTAGTCCTGGGGCTCCAGTCCCAGGTAACAGGCGTTTTTCTTTCTGCAGCTCCAGCAGCTCCGGTTTGTCAGCTCCCCAGGAGGGCCAGCCGCCACGAGCTGTGTCGTGAGGACGCTGCCTGTTCCTCCGATCCTCCCGCACGCCCAGGGACCGGACCCGCCACAGAGCTGTCCTGCCAGGAGGGCTGAAGTCCATTCTGAGGAAAGGACTATTTTTGGGGCTGTAACTGGGTCAGTCTGGGCATTCGCTGGCATGTTTCAGTTGCTCAGAGTTGGCAGGTTTTTCCCATACTCTTAACCGAAGCAGCTTTGAACTGCAGACCAGTCCTAAGCGATGTAAGAGGTTACTCAGCAAAGCAGTGGTCGACCCAGCAGGACACGCTGAAGTCAGCAAAGCTCCTACCAGCCTCCCTGGGAAGAACCTGCCTTTTGCTACCTTCTAGGACTGCTCCTCCGGTAAACATGTCATAGACTGAACAGACTAGTGTTGTCAAGTGAACGCAACAGTCTTTGCGAGATGCACCCACAGACATGCGCACGCACACACACACACACACACAGAGCCACACACGCATTCACCCGATGCGCTGACCTCCTTGAAAACTCATCTGCGCAACACAAGGCCAGGAACAGCCGGGGAGAGCAACACATCATGCAGGGCTGCGGTTCCAGTCAAGAGCCTCGCTTTCCAGCGTGGGACCTGCTCTAACTCCTCCTTCCCGCTCATCTTCAAGGCAAATCTGTTTCTGTCCTTAACCTCACTGCAATTCTCTTTGTTTCTCAGCGCTGAGTTGGGGCTCACATTAAACTTACACAATTAGACTCTGAACACAAGAAATGTCTCATAAAAAACAAATAAAGAGCATTTCATGGAGCAGTTATGCCAGGGGCTGAAACCTTCACAATGTCTTTGTATGTTAGCTTGCACATGGGTCCATTGTCCAGGCCTGGGACTCCTGGCCGCTCCCTCACCTCAAACACAAAATACCCAAAGTCAAAAGTAAGGGGAGCGATTCAAGGAGGAGAGAGAGGAACGCAAGTGTTGAGGATGGAGGGGGGAGAAGAGAGCAGAATGCCTCTCCTCCCTGAGGCGTGCAGACAGTATTTGAAATGAAACAGCTACTTTGGGCTTGATTTTTTAGGTTATAAATGCATTTCAGCACAAGTCATCCGGAAATCAACAAACTCTTCCCCCCCCAACAACAACACAGAGTGCTGGGGGGAAAAAAGTTTTCAATCAGCTCTGGCAATAAAATCTCCGGCCCTCTTCTAAGACAGATGGTGGCATCGAGACTGCCTCGCAGGGATGCCAGGACATGTAAAGAAGATGCTGGTTGGTTTGTGAACCGGTTTTCCACCCCACTGAGTGCAGACTGGGCACTGAGTCAGGCTTAGCTCTTTCAAGTTGTTGCAGGATGAAGGTGGCACTTCTGCTGAAAGCACCCGAGATAGGAGAGGACCGGCCAGGCTGCGATAGTGGGAAGGCCTTTCCACTCAAATTCAGCTGCTGTACCACTGATTTTCTGTGCGTGAGTTGCATCTCTTCTCCAGACTGGCTCTTGGACTCTGTTCTGGGCTAGAGTCAAGTCCTTTGGACGGGGACTGTCCTGCACTCTGCACGCTCATAGCTCTCGGCACCGCCGCACTCTCCTGCTGCTCTTGCACTAAACCATTCCCCTGCACCTCTTGATATCCCCCCTGCAGTGCACCATGGGAGGATTTGCTTAGGAAGATTGGTACCGTGAGCAGAAATGACACTGCAGAGAACTGCAAGGAAGCCGGGGCTGAGGGCAGCTTCCAGGGTTCCTGTGCTCTAGGGGAGTTCATCTCTGAAGGAAGCTGAAGTGCTCAGGTGTCCCTCACTCCCACCTTCGCAAGGTGCACAATATCCTACCCCAGAGTGAATTTCAGAGCGCTGCACAAGAAACACCCAACTGCACAAAGCAAACAAAAGACTTGACACTCCATTGCAAAGCTGTGTGCTCAGGAAGCAGGTGTGCAGCTTGTGCAATGGCTTCCAGGCTGGCTCCCCGTTGTGTCCCTGGGCTGGCTAAAAGGTATCAGCTTCTTGACTTCCTCTCTTTTCTTCCCTCTGCACTGAAAAGGTTTACAATTTGCTGCTGTTTCACTGTTTGTTAAAGTCCAGAAGGTGCATTCCTGGAGGGAATTTCAGCTCAAGACCACTCCCAGGACACCGCCTCCCAAGGCCAGATGGGATGTTTGATTCAACGTGTTCCTCCAGTGTCTCCATGAAGCTCAAAGTTGTTGAGGCATCAACTTTTGCTGAGCAGATCCTGCAGCCCCAGGGCGACTGTGCGTTGCTGCTGGGGACGGCGGGGCCCTGTCTCCATGCTCAAGATTTCTCTGCTGGCGGGAAGCATTGCTCTCTCAGAGAGCCGCTGATGGCAAAGGTTGGCCCCCGCAGGGTTGCTGGATAGCAGGCAATACTGCCAAGCCTTTACCTCCAAGGCCTCCAGCGAAGTGTCTCCCAGCATTAAGGAAGAGTCATGGAAGGAAGGAAATTCTATCTGGGGCGTCTTTGCCCTCTGACAGCATAAGGGAAAGTGTTTCAGATCTGTCCTCCAGGCTTTCCACGAGCTCCTCTTGATTGCCAACCCCACCTCCCCATTGACCACGGACCACAGCTGGCCTCCCGCCGTGACTTCCTCCAGGCAAGACACTGATCTCTCCGCTGCCCGCAGAGGATCACCTTTTGCTCCGTTTAGATTCGGGTCCTGGCAGTGGAAAGGGCAAAGCTGCCCTCAGCCAGGCACTGTAAGGAGGCTCCAGATCTGGGGCAGCTGGAGGCAGCTCTGGGGCCCAGCCAGTGCTGGACAGGCTCTTTAGCAATGATTTTGCCACCGCCACCGCTAATTCACGTAACACGCAGAAAATGAGTTGTGTGAACGATCAGCCAGCCGCCTGGGGCCACACTGGCCTTCCAGGATCTCTGTGTACAGTTAGCATAAAAAAAAAGAGAAATGAAGGCTTCTCACCCGCTTGGTTTCAGGTACCAGGTCGTCCTTCATCCTCCGCTTGGTCCAATCCTTGGCGAGCTCGTCCTCTGCTATCTCCTGAAGGTGGAAGACGGCCACTTGGGCCGATGTGCGACGGATGCGGCCACTCGGAGTCCTTTCAAAATCTTCTACTGGGGGGGGCTCTGGCTTTACCTCTGGCTCTTCTGGAGGCTGAAATAGAGACCAAGTCAGGCAGGGCACAGCCAAGGCAGAGGAGGTGAGCTCTCCTCCCCCTGCGGCAGGGATGCTCAAATCTACTTTGTCTGGGTGTTTGCAGACCTTCTTCTCCGCAGGCGGGGACTGCAGAGACAGCAGCGTGCCCTCAGGCCGGCTGAAGGTTCACTGGGCCAGTTCTGCAGGCCTGCTCAGCACGGGAGGCTCAGCCTCTGAGCTAGAACAAACCCGCCTTCTCACACAGCCAAGCAGACAGCCTGAGCACTGGACTGATCTTGTCCTTTTATGCTTTTAGCGTTCCCACGTATATAAACGACTCAATTTATTAGAGTTACGGAGTTATTAGAGTCGGACGGACTGTCAGTGGGGATTAAGAGAACACAAGAGGGTGGTCCCCAGGGACAGATCCTGCCACCCCGGCGCTGGCAAGCATCTGGTGCTCGCTGGCTGCTGAGGGAGCAGCCTGGTCTTTTTTTGCAGAGTGTGGATGCAGGGAGGCCAGAGCACAGCCCTGCCCAGCTTGCCGTGCCGCTTGCGGCCCTGCCGCAGCCCTCCAGAGCAGGACAGCTCTGCCCTCACTTAAATACATATCCCGGCTTTCTCAAAGGAGCAAAGGGAGCTGTGGTCAGTTCCCCACCTACAATGCATGGTACAATGTATGCTCAGTGTGATGCTAGGGAAAAAAACAACATCAGTTCGATGTCTGCACCTGCCTTGCCCGGCCCAGCTCGGCCTGGCTCGGTCCTGCCCGCAGGCTCTGCAGCTCTGCAGTCACCCACGGGTAAGGATGGCCCCGGTCCTCGGGCCGCCGAGGCGTCCGGGGGGCTCACCGAGGCCGTATGCTCTGACCGCACATGGTAGTCGTGGCCAGCCTTGGATTTGTACTTCTTTCCACAGTGCGGGCAGCTGAAGACAGGCTTGTCGGCCTCGGCGAGCTGCTTGCCGCACCGCTTCTGGTGGTACTGGTACCCCATCAGGCTGGAGAAGTTGGCCACGCAACCCTATGGAGACGGGGAGAAGAGAAGGGTTGGGGGGGCCGTCGCTTCACGCACCCGTGTTGAAACGGTCACGGTGCCATTGCTCCCCGCATGGCAGGGAGGAACACGTCCTGAGGAGTCCCCTCACTGAGCCGCTCCACAAACCCCATCCCCTTCGAGTGATGGGGAAATCGCTGGCCAGCAGGCCCATCCTAAGGTCACTCCTCCACCGGCCTTGACAGTGTCTTTCCAGGTCCTTCATTTCTGAGAGAGAGGATTAGACCCCAAACTTGTGGTCCCCTGGGACTGGCATTTCCTAACCCACAGCCCCCTGTCCCAACCTGGCCAGCCCTCCACGCCTACAGAGAGCCACGGCGCTGGGCCACGCAGGCTCAGCGGGGCCTCACACCCCATGCTGCGGTCCGGAGATCCCGCCTTCTCTCTGCTACCATCCAGCCGCTCTCCCCTAAACAGCCACAGACCCAACAGTGATTTGTGGGACACAGAGCGACGGAAGGAGCAGCCCCGGTCCCCTATGCCACCTTCAACATGCCTGTAGGGCTTTTCAGAAACACGCAAGGCAGGCAGCGAGAGGGGAGCGTGGCAGGGACGGCTTTGTGCAGAGAGCAACCATCCACAGAGACACAGCTCTGCCACACGCTCCCCCTTTACCTGTTTGTGACTTGTCTGCAGCTGGCTTATGACCACTTCAGTTTGGTTTGGTTTAGTTTTATGCTGTGCCCAGGATGCCACCAGCAGCACAACGTCCCTTTCTGAGCAGCGGCTTGAGTTCAAGGGTCAGAAACCGCCCTTCCATGAACGCTCTCCAACCTGTGCTATTTCCAGCCCTCTGGCTAGGACGGCCCTTCGCTGGAGCGCTCAGAGGCAACAGGCTGGGGACAGCGGAGCTAAGGTGCACTTGTGTGAAAAGCTGGGAGTGTGCTAAGGGGTGCCTGGAGAGCACGCATGCCCCTCTGCACTGGGACTCACTCCTTCCATCTTTGCACGGAACAAGAAATTCTTATACCTCATTGGGGCATTTCAGTTTTCCCATCTGCTTTAGCACTTTCCTCAGCCTTTCCCGCGCTTCCTGTTCACCAAGTCCAGCGGTTTCCACAGGAACAGGCTGGAAACAAGGAAGTAACAGAAGCGACAGAGTCAACCATTTACTCATGTCCTCTGTGCCAGGAGTGGGTGGTAAACCTCTGCCTCGCAGGAGTTGCCCTTGGTGAGGGATGAACCTCCTGTTAAAAATGTTATATCTCCCACTGCTGTACTGCACACCGATGCCTTTACTGGTACATGCCAAATTTGCCCATGCATTTCCTGTACTTGCCCTCAACAAGCCAACTGAGAAATCCATGAGCAGTTCCCGCATGGAAAATTCATCAGCTAGACTAGAGAGCAGGACACTAACGCACAGGCAAAAGACAAGTCAGAACTGGTAAACATGGAGACATGCAGAAATACAGTCATGCCTTGCCCTGGTATCTCAGAGACATACGCGACCAGATTTTTAAGAACAGCATCTGAATTGGTGCCTGCCAGATTTTGCTCATGATGAATTTTGGGGCTACTTCTCATACGCCTGGTGGAGTGCTGAACGCTGGACTGAGAGATTCGTGCAAGGCAGAACCCATCAGTCCTGGATTTGTGGGCACAGTTTTGGAGGCAGAGCTTAGCCACTCAAAATCCGCCTCAAAACTCACTGAACATTCCCCCATTCTGGAATTTGAAGTTTTATTTCTCCAGTCCTCTGCCCTGTTCCCAGGGATCCACATGAACGTAACCAGCTGCCTAGGAACGATTTTGCTCGGCAGCCAAGGTGGAAGGCTACCCTCTGGACTGAGCAGCATGCGAGACGCTGCAAGGACGGTGTTTTGAACCCCTCCCTTGAAAAGACAAAAGGAAAGCAGACCACCGATTCCTTCGTCTTCTGCACATGCATCTTGGGGGAGAGAGAGGAAAAGAGGTGTGAGATGAGAGTTGCCCATCTCTCCTACCTTGCTGACGTGCTCGGCCATGGTGTGGTAATTCAGCCCAGCTTTGGACTTAAATTGCTTTTTGCAGTGTTGACATTTCAAGGCATCCTGCAGCTGAAGAAACAGAGGCAAGTCACCATGGAGGCTATCACATATTTGATTTTCCAAGGGCTTCTGCTCTGCTCTAACCCCACAGGAAGCTATTGCTGCAGCAGTGGGACTCAGCAAGCAGCTCAGCACCTCTGTCCCCCATCCCAGTCCAAGCCTGCAGCCCAGAGACTTCTCTCCATCATCCTGAATACTGTTATCAAACCCCTATGCCCCAGTTTTTGGAAAACATTCCATTTTGGATGTGGATTTAAAGCTCACTAGGTGAAAACATCTGGACCTGGTGTCGTAAGTCTTCCCGTTCGAGGGACAGGTAAGAGAAGGAGCTTTCATCTAGCCGTATGTTAGCGGACTGTGCTCTGCAGCCCTGTTAACTAAGACAGATGCTGGTGCATGATACGCTTTATCAGCGTCTGGACTGTTTGGAATTAAGACGCTGCTGGACACAATCACAAAACTCCCATCAGCAGAATATTTCCCACCTCATATTATTCTGCTGCTTGACCCCTGACTTGGCTTCCTGATCGACTTGAGACGCATTAAAAACACACTGTTCTGCCATGCAGCCATGGACATGCTGATTTACAAGGGGAACTTGCAAGGCAAGTAAGCAGATCCTGACTTTTGTTGGAGCAGGTATCAGAATTTATTGACTCCGGAGGTGAATACTCCCAGCACCGAGAGACAGGATGTCTCGAGCAGGAGCCGGCGCCTGGATGGCCAGGTCCGTTCCCCGCTCTATCTGTCCCAGCTGCCTAGAGGCCGCTCCACCTTCACCAGTTCCCATTCAGTTAAGTCTGGACTACCAGCTGGAGCAGGGATGAAGGTGGAGCTACAAATCCACCCTCATCCTGGACCTCTTGGGAAATGAGGAACAAACTGCAGCCAACTGGGAGTGACTCACTTGTATTTATGCCCTGATCGGTTGGTTAATCGTGCTCCAGACCTAAGCACTGACCCTAACAAGGTGGATGCTAAAAGCTCCCTGACTCATCACATGCCAATTTCAGCCAATTTGGGTTTATTCCTGTGGTTAGAACTGAAGAACATGACATGTTCATATCCTAATGAGCTCCTCCACCCAGGCTGCAAGGAGGAGATCCTGCCCTCACCTCCTGCAGGCCCTAGCAAGTTGCAACCATCTCCATCCCTTATTTCCTTTCCAGAGCTCACGGAAATGGGGCAGGCTGGTTAGTGACAACAGTGGAGTTGAGGAATCTACTTCAGTTGTTTTACAAGAGTTTCTAGAGCCTGTGCATCCTTTTCCTATCGTAAGAAATACTAACCCTTAAGGCTGGGGGGGGGGAAGGGGGATTGGGAAGCTGCTTGCACTTCAGGGTCATTTCTCAGGGGAATATCCCATGCCTACAGTGGCGGGGCCTCACTAGCAGCATGCCACGGGCTCATAACAGAGCTGCTGCTGAGAGTTGCAGCTGAGGTCACGCACCCGGGGACAGTCACATTTGGGGAATGTGCTCACAGGATGCTCTCTGGCAGCTCCCAAAACACCCCAGCCAGCCCCAGGGGGGACCATGCCTCACGAGGAAGGACAGCAAAACACCCGCTCCTGGAGCCGGAGCCTGCAGCTCCACCGGGGCAGTTGCTTCTCCCCTCGTACTCCAGAGGGGCAGTCAAGCCCTCTCCAGGTAGATTCAGCCTGGAGGCACTGGCTCTGGAGCAGCAGAAGTGGTTGCCACACTTTGTCATGAGCTTAGCGGGCTGCGAGAGCCTCATTTCCTCCTCTGAACGCCCACGTGCCTATTTATAGAGGGGAAGCCAGGCCCGACTGCTCTCGCAGATTCGCGCTCAGCAGGCTGGCTGGCCTCACGTGCAACCTGCCCAGCGACAGAGACGTTCAGGAAGCACAGGAGGTCTGAGAGACAACGGCCAAGATCCCGTATCCCCTGAAGCCAAGAGGATGCTAGTGGCCTCAGGATTCCGCCCAGCATTGATGTAATACGGGGTCTGAAAGGGATAATAGCCTCCTACTGCTGCATAAATGCTGAGGAAAAGGCTGAGGAGGCATTTACAGAAAATGAATGTGGAATCAAAGCTGAGCCACATATTTTCAAAGCAGGAGGCATTGATCTCACGTTGGCTTTCTGTGACGATGGCTCTGCACCACGCCAGGTGACGGATGAAGACGTAATCCTTTGCTCTGATGGATGGCACTGTGGCAGAGAGACAGTTTTTCACTGTACCATTACTGAACTCCTGTGTCTTGACAGTCTGCCTGAGCACATCTAGGCTTGGTGTCTCTCTGAGACATGCTCTCATTTAACCACAATTTATCTGACCTGATGCGAGGCAGGGCACACAGTAAAATCCCACAGCTGGAGCTCTGAAATGGGCTAGATTAGAGACAAGCCCAGCAACCTCTCCAGCTTTAGAACTATTCAGTTATCTACTAGAAATACCCAACTCTGCTGGAGACACTGGGCCAAGGGGCCCAGACCACAAAGGGATTCAGAATTACGAAAATTAGGTACCCAAATCCCTGCACGAATCTGAATCCAAGTGAAGCAGCCAACTCTATTTAGATGACTAGCAAGTGTTCCATCAAAAAGCCCTAGAAATAGTTTTAGGAAATACCAATATGGATTTATGAGCACGGCTTGAAAGATCATGCATAGCCGCGCTCCCCTCTGAAACAGAAACGAGCCACGACTGAGTACATCAAGCCTTACTTTCTGGCAGACGTCCATGTGCTTTTTGAGCCCAACAACAGTTTTTCGGGTTATAACGCTGCAGGTTGGACAGGCGACTTCTCCCTTCTCACTTATCTCACGTTGCCACTGGTCCTCAGGGTTTGCTGGCAAGGGGAGAGGAGAGAGGTGTTACGCTCAGCAGTAGAGACAACAACCTGCCCAGGGCGTTCGTCAGGAAAGTCCCTTTTTACGTCTTGGCTTGCCAAGTTGAAAGCCACTTTAGTGGGGAAAGTTACTGAAATTCTCTCACAGTCACGGGCCAAGTCAAAACCGGACACACAAACCACGCAGGCGCTGGCAGCTCTACCTGCCACACAATTCCTGCAGCCGCCTGAGCAAACTGGGTCACTGGGCCATTTTACGTGGAGTTAACTGATTTGCTGGCATCTCACAAGGAAAATGAGGTTTGCTTTTCCAACCCCACTCTGTACCCTGCATATTGGCAACTGAAACACTAGGATGCCCCTGGCCACCTTATCTTGCCCTGCTTAGAACAACTTCCCCCTGCCAAACGAAACAATTAGCGGGAGTGAAACAAAGGCGAACATCTCGGTTCCATCCGGACCATGTGCCTGGGAAGTTTTCCCTCGCTTTCTTTTTTCCCAGTAGAAGCACAGGCAGCTAATAGGCGTGCTAGCTTCCAGCCATGTGTTTATTTGAATGGCTGTGACAAACTTAAAAAACACCCGGAATAAAAGACACAAGGGGCCAAAACCTGCTCCCAGGTCCGGAGTTCATGCCGTGTTCTCAGCAGAACACACCAGTTTTCCAGCAAGGAAAGCCCAGGCTGAATACAACCTGCCAAGTCTGTGTATTTGGATGCTTTTGCATGGCTGTGAGATCAGAGAGCTGTTTTTTTTAAATTTTAAACCTGTGCAAGGCACTGCAGCTGTGTTTATCTTGCACATCCTGCTGCATTCCTCCTGCTGTCAGAGCTTCCTCCCAGTTGAAAGTCAGCAACCTGTGTTACGATGCAGGCTGTGCCTTGGAGGCTCAGGGAAGACAGTCGCACCTGAAGGCAGGCACTGGCATCATTCTTAGAGGAATTGGTAGAAAAACGTCATCATCCCAGGAGCTGGTCCAAATTGAGGTCACACTGAAGCCAGGAGGAACCAGGATTCGGCTATCAACTCCCAGTGCTTACAGCAAAGCGTTGCTTGGTACCCATTTCAGGATGCCACTGTGGCCGCACCAATACGTTAGGGCCAGTGGTTGCTCCCACACCTGTGCTATACCTCAGACACATGGGAACGGTGTACTTCCAGCTCTTGTCTTGCGCGCGTCTAGCTCGCTCTTCTGCTCACAAACTTGGTAGAAAACTAACCCGGCAAAAGAGCCTGCTGGGCCTGGAGGGGTGTGAGGGCCACCAGCTGCAGCGCAAGGGTGGAGGACCACGCAGGCTCAGAGCAGAGCATGGGAATGAGCTGGTAGAGCAGCTAAGCCGGGTGTAAAGCTGTTGCTGTTGCTCTGTCTCCTCCAGTCTTACCTGCTGGTAAATGCACAGCTGATTCCTTCTTCACACCAGATCCTGGAGGCTTCTTTTTCAGGTCCTCCATGTTGGTGTTCCCCTCCAGCTTCTTGGCTCGATGTGCTTTCGCCTTGTCTTCTGCTTTGACAAGACCTGTAGAGAGAGGGAATTTTAATTTAATGCTTGCTTTAGCAACATCAGAACTGAATTGAGTAGGAAAAGAAATCTCTTACACGGGGACACTGAGTCAGCTGCAGGTCTGCCAACACTGTATGTGTAGGACCAGGCCCTTAATTATGACAGACAATGTCATAACAGTTTGTGGTGCTTTATAAACACAAAGAGAATCACTTCCCCCACCCGAGGCAGTTCATGGACTATGAGAACATTAGGGCAAAGCAGGGGTAGGTCGCTTCTAGCAAGGAAGAACCCTCTCCTGCATGAGCGGGCAGGCAAAGCACATGCTTCCCATTCAGGCTGCTAAACACATCGACTATCAGCCACTGAAGTGCGGGCCCAGGCCAGCCCTCCTCTCTGCACTGAGCAGAGACAAGCGAGCAGGAGGAAGGCTCAGCACGGGCCAAGAGCAAGACGGCAGCAGCAGCAGCAGCAGCAGCACTGCCCAGTCTCTCTCTGCTGCGCTGAATGCCTCAGGAGCTCCCAGGATGAGGTGAGAAATGGAACATGGGGCTTGCAAACGCTGCTTCGGAAAGGCTAGTTATGGAGGACTGGGACTCTGCCCCGGGCCCGACCACCCCAGACCAACGTGCAGTTCAGCCTTGCGCCTGCGCTTCCAGAGCAAGGAGGCTGGTGAGGCAATGTTAGTGCCAGGGAGAGACCCACACTCGTCCCCTGCGAGGGTGCACGTGTCCCTGACCTGCTGGGTCGTGATTCTCGCAACCCCGGGGTCTGAATGGAAACAGCATCCCCCGCCTGGCTGCTGGTACCCACGCCGTGGGGGTGTTACAGGTGGCACGCAGCAACTGTGTGACAGAGGCTAACACCAGCCTGTTCTCACTCCCCATTTGAGGCAGGGAGTCGGGAGGACCAGCTTATTCATCAGAAATCCGCAACAGACATTTTGCTCTATGGCAACACCTCTGTGCGGAAGAGAAGGGAAACAACCCCAGACTTCCCAGGAGCCAGAGGACAGGAAGTCAGAGGGACCACATCCAATTCCCTCTTTGGTAAGTGCATTTAGTTCCTTCAAAGCCATTAGCGCCTCTCCCGCAGGACTTGTACTGGAAAGCGCTTCCTTCTCCAAAGCCTGGAAACCTTCTTCTAATTTCCCCAGTTAAATGAATTTCGTAGCCAGTCCAAATCCCGTTGCCCTTGTGCCAGGGATCTTCCAGGTCTCCTCCCTCCCTTGTATCCAGGCTGGGGTGTTTATGGAGCACAACCTCAGTCCCTCTCACTCTCCCTTCATCAGGTTAGCAAGCCAACTTCCAAGTGTCCTCTCCGAAAATGTCCTGGTAACTTCCCCCTTGAGTTCAGTTTCTTGAAAGCGACCAGCACTGGAGATGCTGTTTGGGGGACGGATGTGTCTCCGAGGCTTTCTACACAACACTAATCCTCCTTGTCTCCACTGGAAATACTGCTACATCCCAGGCCTGTGTTTGCCTTTTGCAGAGGCCATTTATGTCAGCAGCTCTTCAGTCTTGTGTTACCAACTGGACACAGCCAGGTCCTTTCCTCTCTTCCCTCATTTCCCAGGACAGGCTCCCGAGGCAGAGGGGACAGGGCTGTCAGCAGAGCCGGCAGTGCTACTGCCTTTCCTTCCCTTTCTGACACTCCTTCAGTGTGACATCCCCAGGGCACAGGTGGCTCCCACGTGCCACCCCCATGGGGAAGGGGAGTCTCTGAAATGTCCCAGGGAAAAGCTACAACCCTACATCCGGCCAGGGTCACCCTCATATTACCTTTCAGTCCAAACGTCCCCGATATGGATGGCTGCTCCCCCGTAAATTTCTTAGGAGTTTTCTGTTTCCTTCCTGACTCAAGAGAGAGAAACAGAGAGACATTTGGTCAAATAACTGTACTGCCCGGTGGACTGCAGCAGTCTCAAGGCAAGGGGTGTGCACAGGCTCCATGTCAGGAGTGGGCAGAAGGGATCCACCCGATGGAGGCCTTTGCCACTGTGAAATAAAGGAGCTATTGAAGCAGCCACCCCACCAAACAGTAACGGGACACTGCTTCCCACCCCCACAAAACGAGGAGAAATGGTGGTATCCAAGGGAGGCCAATTCAATGACTAGGAATTGTGGCTCTATGTAGTGCCAAACACCTAATGGTTTCCATACCCTGCACAGCTTCAGCAGCTACGGGATCTGTGCTGGTTCACTTTGGGGCTGCAAGCAGCATAAAACTGTGCTGTCGTAGGAATAACCATGTCCTTGCACGTCACTGCCTGCCAGCCACACAGCGGTAACCGACGGAGTGAGCCTCCTTACCCTGTCCCAACACCTAAGGGAAACACATTTGCTAGAACCGCCCTGGTTTAAACTGCCACAGTCAATGAGGACAGATGGGCTGACAGATGGCAGCTTGCTATGCTGCAGGTAATTCAGTCCATTTCCAAACATATGGGTCCCACAGATACACCGGCTGCAAACTGTTTTTAACTCACTGCGGAACTCACTGCTGCAAGAAACTGGTGGGAGCAAAATTACCAGGATGCTCAAAAAAAGGATCAGATGCACTCAGAGACGACAAGGTTCGCAGGGTCACCAAGGTTTGCTAACCTGGCTAGCTGTGCAAGCCATGGCAGGGTGCAGGCTCTAGCACGGGAAGCCCTGTGCCAATTGCCAGAAGCCAGGAGGCCTCGCCAGGGGAAGGAGCACCATGCTGTCCTCTTCCTACTCTGCTCCTCACACACCCATGATAGGCCCTCCCTGGATCCCGACTGCCCTCGCATCTGAGAGGTGAGTGCTCATGGAGAGAAACTCGCAGCAGCGTTCCCTGGAGCAGAATCCCTGTCCTTCCTATGGGACACTGTCTCTGGGCTCCCGAATCGACGTAGTCCCAGGCTCTAATCTTACTGTGCTTCATCCTCTCAGGGTCCTCCTCCTGCAGCGAGGCCTGGCTGCCCCCCTGCTGCCCGGCATCCTTGCAGCTTGAAGACTTGGCCGTGGGCGTCGCAGCTGCAATGGCCTCTGCTGCTGCGATCTGAAACTCCTTGCTCTCCCGGTTCTCCGCCAGGCACTCGCCATTCTCAGTGTGGTCCTGGGCCACGGCTTTTTCCGTCTTTGCCTGTTTGGGATGGATGGTGGGGCAAGCTGAACTCTCAGCAGCTCTAGGGCAAAGCACAGAGGGCTTGTTTAAAGAGGGGTTGAGAGATAAACATTGCCGACACCTCTCCTCCCTCCCCAGCCCAGGGGAATGGAAGTTGGAAGGTTCCCCTGCTCCCAGCCATCCCCACGCCACTGCCAAGCAGCCCAGCCACTACTTGGTACCTTTTCTTGCCACTGCTCTTCCCAAATGACTTCTGCACTTTGTTTTCTGCTTTGCTGGTTGGCACTGGCCGGTCCAAGTGATTCCAGAGGCGATGCTTTTCTAGCTGGGTTTTGGAGGTGAAGGCAGCTTCACAGTATGAGCACGAGTACGTCAGCTTCTCCGAGATTGCACCCTGTGCAGCATGGGAAGAGATAGGCGGTCACTGACACTAGACTTCAAAAAGGCCAGGCTTTTCCTGATGCAGGCATGCACTGCAATGAGGCTGGGAAGCTCACGAGCACTTTGTGGCTGACAGGCAGGAGGAGATGGCCGCTGCTACCAAAGGGGCATCAACAAGCTACTAAGAGAGCTGGATCAAAGGTCTGGCTCAAACTCTGACCCTCAGTTCGTTGGCTGAGGGATAATTTGAAAGTGCCTTTAACAGCACTGCACACTAGCTGTGTGCAAATAGGACGCAGGGTATTTACACAGGGTATTTACACTGTCTCCCCTTGGAACAGAACTACCAGTGGCCCAAGTCACCTCCAAGCTAGACCTGACACTGTGTCACAGGGACCCTGGCCCTCTCACACACACCTTGTAAACAGCCTCTGGCCCGTTTGTGCCCTCCTGGCTTCTCCGCCCTTTTTTATCTCACGATTCTTCTGGGGTTTACGGTCTGAGAGGGGTGACTTTACCCTGAGGATGGTAATGCAAGAAAGGATGCACAGCCCTCAGGTGTCCTTACCCCCTGGCAGCGCTGATAGTGGTATTTCAAACCATAAATGCTGGGGAACTCCAGCCAGCAGCCCGAATTGGGGCATTTCACCCTGGAGTGGGCTTTGAACTCGTCCTTCCACTGGTTCATCAGGGGGAGCTGGGAACAGGAGACAGGAGAGATGTAGCTGAGTGAGGAGCATCGCACGCCCAGGTGAGCACACAGATGCATCTCAAGAGAGCTGGGGGCAGGGATCGGACCTTCGCGCCACTCCTATCCACCTCCCCAGCCCCCTTCCCACCACACAGCTGCAGAGCAAACCACGGGGCTGCGTTTCAGCATGCTCGGGCTCCTGCCAGTGAAGGGGACCGTAACGGAGTTGTATGGTGCAGGCTCTACAGGCTAGCGGTTCCTCCTGAAAATTTACCTTGCCATGCATCCCAGGGCATAAAGCACCCTCTCGTCCAGGTGGGCCAATAAATCAGGACACAAGTCACCTGGGTGACTTAACTACCCCACATTTCATCTAGTCAGTAAATCATCCCATGCCCACTCTCTCATGACAAACTGCTCTGTGTGTTGTCCATGCTCCCACACTGAAATTAAACCGCACAATTCCGCAGGGAATAAATCACCCCTTCCCCAGTGCTCCCTGATCAGTAAACCAAACCCGACGTGGCTGTGAGAGAATAAAGCTCGGCTGGGAATGGCCCCGGGAAGGGAAGGCTGGAGTGGTGGGTGCTCTTCCACACTAGGGTTTCCAAAGGTGTACAGTGATGCTGGGGGCCTGCAGGGAGGATGTTCAGGAGCCAAGATCTTGCAGAGCCCTAGACTACATCGTTCTGAAGATTAAACCACCTGATGGGCGGGTCTAACTCCAGAGCGGAGCTGGCCGGAGCAGCTGGTGCAGCAAGCCGCAGAGGGCAAGTCAGAGGGAGAGAGATGGGGCCCGCATCTGGGAGGAGACAATATAGGGGCTTACGGGAATGTCCTTCAGCGCCTGGTTCTCGGCCTTAGGTCGTCCTTTCTTCCTGCCTTCTGCTTTGTCGCTGGTTGCATTTCCTGCAAACAGATGCAGCACACGTGACCCTCCGGTCGGTCGGCCGGCCGGCCGGCCGGCCCCGTGGGCGCTGGACTGCCACGGCTCAGCTCTCCCCTGCCCTTGTCCCCCGCCAGCTGCTCGGCCAGCCCTGCCTCCTCTCCTGGCTGGCAAAGGGCTGCCGTGCTGCGGCCCTGGCGGTGATGGAGATTTCCCTTTGGGAAGCAATTATACCTTCCCTGGGAATTCAGAGCACAGCCTGTGCACCCACAGATACCCACGGGGCAGACGGCTGCACACAGCACAGCTGCTTCTGGCTACAGGAGAGCCTGGCCAGAGCACGTCTCCCTCCAGCAAGGCACCCTCTCCTTCCATTTGTGGAAGCAAAGCACAGAGCGATTCCAGCATGGCTGGGGCTTGCTTTGTAAAACTGGCCTACAGGTCCTTCCACCTGGGTTGGAAGACATCCTTCAACAACTGTACTACTTAGTAAAAGAAATTTGGGCCTAGATGGGCACGCTGGGCGAGCCGCTGGCTGCGGGGCTCGGACAGCGGAGAGGCCATGGGGACCGCGCGCACTGCCTCCACAAGGCGTTCACGAATCTCCGTGAGCTCGGAGCAGACCCTCGCAGCATCGTGACCACGACGTGGGGCACTGGCTGTGCATCAGCAGGGCAGCAACATGCCCATGTCTAGCAGACATTGCAATGTTGTCGCCACTTCTGAACAGCTGGGACCACTCTGACGTCTCCGGCGTCAGATACTGGGGCGCTCCGGACACAACCTTTCCTTGTTCAACTGTGCCGAGCCCCAGACTGGACACGTCGGTTCACAATGGCAGCGAACTGCCCAGTTTCACCTATTTCACATCTAAAGTGGTTTGAGCGAAGCAGCGCAAACACCACAGCAATTTGCCCTAAGGTTTGTATGCAGGGACTGAGGGCAGTTGATCAAAGTAATCCACTTCAACGTCCTGCTTTCAGTCCCCGAGGTGATTTACAGGCCTCAAAGAAAGATGTGCTCAGCTTCATCTCCCTCATCGGAAAACTGGCCGCCAGTTCAACGCCGCCTGGGCCGGGAGCACTCCAGCAGGTGACGAGCGCTACAAAGCCTCGTGTCTGGTAGCTGCCCAAGCGCTCGCACAGCGGCATGTGTTTTACGGGCCTTTAATCTATGCCCTCGAGACGTGGCCGGGTGCCAGGGCGTGCCGGAGGTGGCGAGACACAGGCAGCGCCAGCTGCAGCCTCCGTAAGCCTCTCCCATCACGCCGGCTCTCTCCGGGCCCCGCTCGGGAGCCCGTCACACGCAGCATTTCCCAGGCACGAGAGCTGCTCCAGAAGGCAGGGACGGCGCACGGAGGGGGTCAGCCAACTCCACCGAGCTGCTGCTTTCTCTATTCTCATCACATTTGGGCGTGCTCATTTCCTTGCCTGCTTCCGAGACCTCTCCCTCCACAGGCTCGTGGAGGGGGTGCAAGCCCTGCCCTGAGCCAGGCCCAGAGCTCAGGGCTTTAAATGGGAATCCCTGGGGAGGGACAGGGCCGAGGGATATCTGCCTCTTGCTCTTTGGGCTCTCGCAGCTGTATTTGCAAGCTTTAGTCAACGAACAGGAGACTGAAGACACGGCCGAGGAGGCGTGTGGCTGTGTTGGTTTGGAGATCACGGCTCAGGACCCCGGGCAGGAGCGGGCGAGAGCTGCAGCGAGCGATGCCCCACGGGGTCTGGCTGCCCTCGCTCTTCTGCGTGGCTCCTCAGCACTGAGGTTGCCCCGCACCGCTCAGGGTCCTTTGTTGTGTTCTGGTTGCCCAGCTTGACAATTGCTCACAGAAACACCCCAAATCAGGGCAATTTTGGAAAATATTCACAACAGAACTAAACGATGGGAATAGCAAGAAATAGCGATGGCCGTTTTCTGCAGCAGATTTCAACCTGGGTTTGTAGTTTGGCTGCAATTGTGCAAAAGCTGACACTGTGGACAAGAGAAGTTCTTCTTTAAACCCGTGTTTATTTTGGGGCACGAGCAAATCTGCCCGAATGCTTACTTGGAGGCACAGCTCAAAAGAAGAGGAAAGCAAAAGCAACAACGGAGACGCATGACAACTCCTTGGTCAAAACAACGTGATCAAAGCATGCCAAATTCTGCATGTGTGGGTGCGAGCAGCCAGCGTGCAAAAAGTGAACGTGCCTCTAAGTGAAAACAGCCTGACGTGGAGGAGTCGCTGCAAAGCTCTTTCAAATACATTTTGAGGGCTAACCTGTAACTCTAAGTGATGCGGGGAGCCAGTGTAATCCAAAGCCGATTTGGACAGATGTTAACGGCCTATGGGAAATACTGTGTAGGGAAGACTCAAACTAGGATCTGGGAGGATTTAATGAACAAGCCTGGGAATAAAAGCCATTTGCTACAAAAACAAAACCAATCCAAAACCTCCCTGCAAAGGAAACCCCAAAACCGTTAGCAGAGCATAATTTAGATAAAAAACCCAAACTAACTCAACCTATAAAATAGCCCTCCCTGGTGAAAAGCAGACAAGAAGAACAGGCGGGCAGCACCGCCTGCCATCTCTCCAGCTCCTGAGAAACCAGAGCTCAGCTGCTGCTGGCTGTATTCAGAAGCCAAACCAGGATGTTTGGAACAGGAGGTAGAGGTTAAACAGAAAGCTAACAAGTTACCTACAAAAGCACTGCCAAAAACACACACTTTCTCCTTTCTCATGCCTTCTGCCCCACCAGCCAGCGGAAAAATAGCAAACAAGACAATTCCATTTCCAGTCCCCTGAAGTCGTGCCAGCTGGTTTGCTCTGCTTTGATATCCATAAAAGCATCATTTGATGATGTTGCATCCTTTGGGAATCCCACTAGCCCAGAAGGCCTCGTCGGCAAGACGTGACTCTTCACGTACAACACGGCAGTGACCTTTATGGAATATAAATTAAGTCCTTAAAAAGCCATTTACCTTCCCCCCTGCAAGGCAACCTCATTGCTCTAGCAGGGCCCCAGAGCTACAATAAACCAGAAGGACGACCACAGCAACCCAGAGCCAGCTGGCATGTCAACAGGTACCCGCGGCTGTTAGATGAGGCTCGTTCTCAACCACGTACTTAATGCTGCTTAGTTCATCTCCAGCTTTACACGCTGCCTCCCACAGCTGTCATAAAAATGCCCTGTTTGGTTTGGACCCTCCCCTGCTTTGCTCTGCTCCGAAATATAGGGGATGGCTCGTAGCCCTAAGGAGAGGGGAGAGGAGGAGTCTGCAAACTTGCACCCGGATCATGCTAGCTCTGGAGCAATCTTTGCACGGCTCCTTTCAACCCCTCACAAAGTTTCTGTGAAGGGGTACTGATCATCACAGGCTCCCTTTGCTTTTTATATTTTCTCTGCTGTTAAATTCAGGCTCATTCAGACCACATGTTGAGGCTTCTCCTTCATGCTCATGGAAGCATGGGCCTCACCCTCCGCTTGAAATGGGAGCTAGGAGTTTTGCGCATCATGGGACTCTCTGAGCTGGGAGTTCACAAAAGAACACCAAATAATACAGCATTTGCAGAAGAATCGCAACACTGCAGTTACCTGCCATTCTTCCCCCTTTTTTCAGCTTTATCTCCTAAATGCTTCAAAATACTCCAAGTTCAAAATATCCCAAAGCAGCTAGAACAGCACGTCCCCATTCCTCCAGGCCACTCTCTCCAGAACGAACCCAGCACATCCAGGGAAGCAGCATGTTCGGATGCTCCGGTAATAGCTCTGCTCTCCCTCTGCTTTTCACAGCTTGCAAAAGTTTCAAAACTTTTGGGGACATGTCATGCGGAGAAGCACGAGACTTCCCCATCGACGCACCCCTCACGTCCTCATTCATCAATGGCCAGGTGGGGACAGAGAGGACAGGGACGGGAGAGCACTGGGGAGCAGAAAATGCTCCCTCCTCTCCCGACACCTGCACTGGCAGCAACTTGCGCTGCCCCCTGCGAGCCCGGAGCCCGCTGCCGCAAGGCCAGTGTGGCGGGGTACGTGCTGTGCTGGCATGCAGCGCGCACCGCAGTCCGCTCGGCGTGAAATCCAGACCTTTTATAGGCACTTGCAGGAGAGGTGCAAACCTGACTGCACTTAGTTTTACGGCTGGCATCGTGGCTGTGTGTCCCTGCAGCTGGTTACCGCAGTCGTGCATTGAGTCAGCAAGATGGAAATGGCATGTCCTCTAAAAGCAGTGACTGGGGAGGGCTTTCCCGCATACTCACGGCTTCTCCAGACCAAGACCAAAAGCACAGCATGGAAAGCGCGCTCCTTGCGCCAGCCAGGCTGTTGCATCCGAGAGAGGGACCAGCAAAGCGATGACGATGAAGGCCCCTTTCCCCCAGTCCATGTTAAGCCTAATTTCCCCTGACAAAGTGAACCCTGTTAAAAGTTTCCACCCCCAGGACTTTCCCAGTGGGAGCTACGAAATGTAGCTCCCTCCATCACGTCCATCTAAATTAGGAAGGGCTGAAAAAGGGAGGGCTTTTTTTACCTTTAAAGGTGCTGATAAGATGTGGCACAGGGGAAAAAAATCCCCAAAACACAGGTATGTTTATACTGTAGGCAGATGTAGTTCATTCTCCACAGCAATCACAGCTCTGGTAGCAATTACAGCTGCAACTGCCTCAAGGGAAGAGCATCATTTGGGAAACAATTAGGGCAAGGCTTCCCCAGGAGGCCATGGATTTTGGATGTCCACTCTGAGAGCCACCGCTGGAGTCCGTTTTTCAAAGGAGCTGGGCTCTCACCTTGTGCAAGTGCTGTGCCAAGGCAGCGACCGGACGCTTATGCCGAGCAGCCAGCAGGGCCTGGACACGCGGGTGTCACGACATGGAGCGAGGGCTGCCATGGCCTACATCCCACCAACCTCCAACTCAAACAAAGCCCAGCTGCCTGGGCAAGGGGAGAGGTAGAGAGGCACCAGCCAAACCTCGGGCCCAGAGCTGCCCAAACACAGTGCAACCACATCCAGACCCGCACGGCCTCAGATCCGCCTCTGCCCTGCAGCGTCCAGAGCTGCTGGCCTCGCAGGCTTGGGTGAAGGCAACCAGAGTGTTTCTGCGCTCGCAGGATAGATCTGCCCGGCCCAAGCAGACAGGAGAAAAATCTCCTTGGGCCCAGAGATTTTGGGATAGAGAAATCAGCTATCCATCAGAGCGACAGCCCCTCGCAAGCCACTTCCCCAGGCTTGTACGCTCGCAAGCCGAGACATCCTGGGAGATGCGACATGGGAGACAGCAGATGGTCTAAACTCATTTAAGCCTTTCCATCCTTTCGTGTAACACTTAGCTACCAACGTGATAAATAGACGGCGAGACACCCATCTCGTTAGACAGCCGCACACCCCTCTAAAGAGGGAGATCATCTCTCTCTTTCCTCTCCCGGTGCTCCCCATTTCTCGGGACCACCTCCCTACAGGTCCAGGGCCTGTGGCTTTCATGGCCCACCACAATCAGTGCTGGTTGCTCGAACCCACGGAGCTGAGGCCGCACCAAGCCGCTCACGCACAATAGGAGACCTGATGCATTTGCACCTTGTCCCCTCCACCCCCTTTACCCGGTTCCTTACCAAGCTTGGGAAGCTCTGCCGGTGGATTTATCCTTGTGTCTGTCCTGCTTTCTTTGCTCGCAGTGGGTTTGTTAGAGCCTGAAGTTTTCCTTCCACCTTTACAGGCATAGGAATCCGCCATCTCTGAAACAAGCAGGGGACGTGTTAAAATTCACACACAGCTCCACGGAGCTGGGTAAAACACATGCTGAAAGCAAGGAGAGCTGCTGGGGAGGGAGGGGAACTAGAAAACTACCAGGCAGCTTAAGTGTTGTCACAAAGAGAAGAAACGGGATGCGTTTCTAAGGATTTGTTATATGGCTGAGCAACGCCACAGACATGGTTGAAAAGCTGCTGTCATTACAGGCTGGTTTTCTCTCCACATATAACAGCAAAGACTTTATTAAAAATTATGGGCTGGCTTCATCCAAAGAAGTAACGAATAAATGGCTTTTCCCCTTCGTTTATTTCTATGCTTTCATTTAAAACACCAAAAGAAAAAAAAAAAGTGAGTTTTAATGAACAGATTTAGTGATAAATTTCCAATTTTCCTTATTAATGGGAAACTGCTACAAACTGAGAATTGTTAATGTTATCTAAATTTTCTGTATTAATAATTCAATTTGGCTTCTCTATAAATAATGAACATCGGAAATTATCGCAAAAGGCCCAATCTTGCTCCCAGTGGAAGCAGGCAGTAGGACACCCCTCAACTTCAGTGGTGGCAGGATTAAGCCCATGGCATGACTGGATCTCGCCTGAGTTTATTCCGAGTATCTTCAGAGGCACACTAAGCCCAGACCCCATCACGCTCACATTAGTTGAGGTGCAACAGTCAGCTAGAATGAGTCACCTGAACGTGCTGGCATTGACTTCTCCCCGTTTGGCTACAATGCAACAGGAACAAGGGACTCCTGGCCACCTCGCAGAAGACACTCATGCCTTTCTGTTTTGGAAATGCCTCTTAAAACGCAGATGAAATTTCCTGGAGTGCTGAGCAACCGGTGATTCTAAGGGAGCACGTGGCAGGTTAAGCACTGGAGAGGCAAGCTGTGTCCGGACAACTGGAAGCACTGCTAGGACCGAGCAGACGGACCCAAATCCTCTGCAGCTTCCACCTTGGCCCAGCTTCTGCTGGAAAGGCTCATCAAACCAAGGGAGCCAAATCCTGCCCTATGGCTACCATTCAGCTGAAATCCAGGGGGCTGAATGAAGGATGACTCTGGACTATCTGTTTATACTGACATTTATTGTGTTCTCTAATGCACAAACCAATCTGTCACTGGGATCTAGAAGACAGCGTCACATCCACCTCCCGGGGCAACTGAGGAACGGAGCCTTCCCCCTCCCTCACAGTCTGCAGTGAAGCAGGCTGGGTAGCGTGCACAGGAGAGCTCTGCGGTCACACAATAAGCTGCTCAGCCCCAGTAGACGAGGGTCCCCATCCCATCAGGACCAAACGCAGCAGGGTGGTCAGAGCACCTCCCAGGGGAAGGGCGTCTCCTTCCTTCTCCTCTCCCCGCTCCTAGACCCTACAGAAACAGAGTCCAGGAAGAGGTGCAAGAATTGAGACCACGAGGCAATTTTGGGGAGGACAGGATTGTTCCAGCCTGACACGCAGCCTTGCCGAGTGTGACATGGTCTTTGCTAACCAAGAGCCAGAGGATGGACCGCCATTGAGACAAGACACGCAGGGCATTCACAGATGCCAAGGTTTCAGGCTCCTGGGGCCAGCATCAGAGCTTGTCCGTGAAGCGTTTCATTCAGTCACCTTCTTATTGCATGGGTCCATCTTTGCACAGCTCTGCCCTGAGCCAACCGCCTGTTTGGACTTTCAGGGTGCAGCAGCAGAGGCAAGGTCTCGTTGTTCCCCTGGGGCCTGTAGTAATTCCCTAGAAACGCAACCAGGCTGCCCACAAGCCCGTATTGCACAAACCCGTGCCGTTACGTGCACAACCGCCCCGACGAGTCGCAAACAGCCGCGAGCTGATCCTATCGCAGCTGTGTGCCTTTCCCTCTCGCTCCCGTCTTGCACGGAAAGCAAGCTCCCTTCACACCCCCGGGTCTGCCAGCCGCCGCTGCGGTTCCTCCCCTCCAGACAGCACAAGCTAAGACACGCCTGATGACAGGGGCTGTTGAGAGATGCCACGTTCCTCTCGACTGAAAAGAAGTAAGGCCCCAGGGACTTCGCCCTGGGCACCAAGGAGAAAGGAGTCCTCCAGACCTCTACAAGAGCTTCAAGCCCTGGGAAGGAAGCTTTGCTGACCACCATGGCCACTTTTGGCCTGGAGATCTGGGACGGGACATGGCGAGGAAACAACGCTGGTGCTCAGCCAGGCACCCGGCAGCACATCTAAGGGAAGTGCCAATCGGTCCTTTCTTCCCCTTTGCTTAGCACTTCCCTCCTCCACACACACACACACACACTCTAAAAAACACAGATTTGACTCTTTGCACCCAAACCCTCCCACAAAATCGCATGTTTGCATCATTTAACTCAACTGAAGGGACAGAGGCGTTGTCCCGCAGAATCCAGCGGCCAACGTGCTGCTCGGCAGCCTCAACCCAGCTATCCCAGCACCCAAAGCAACAGCCCTCGCACGCCAAGCGCCTGCTCAGGAGAACGCTACACCAGAGGGATTTCAGCGGCCTGAGGAGCCAGCTGGTGTGACAGCATCTCCCTCCTGCCTGGAACGCATGGCAAACAGGTCTTCCTTCAACCCACTGCGCAGAGGACAGCCCAGGGCCCCGGGAAAGGCTGAGCCTGCTGTGGCAGCACACTTTGCATAAGAGCCCAAGCACGGGAGCCAGCAGGACCCCAATGCCAACCACCCATGCCACCACCATGTGGGACACGAGGGCGTCTTGGGACGTGATGGGACTTGCAGTGTGGGAAAGGGCACTGCCTGTCGTGTGCAAACCAGACGCTCTGAGAAGCTCTGGCAAAACCCTCCAGCACGTGTTCGGCTGGTGACAAGTATTTGGTTGTTTGCACGGACACAAAGGTTAATCGGATCAAATGAGAAATTTCAGTCTTGGCAACAGGTTCTCTGGCATTTGGTGCTGAACACAGGAATCATTATTCAGCTAATTTGGGCTCTGTTGGTAGGAGACGCGTTTATTAGCTACAGCTTGTCTGCCAGCAGCGTTGGGAAGGCCCAGTAACCCAGGGATGCCAGTATGCCAGGCGCCGTACAAACCATGCAACAACCTTTTGGTCTGAACGAACAAGCCTGGCCATGGGGGTGAGAGGAGGAGCAGTACTGTCTCCATGACTGAGGCAACCACACATGGCTGGAGAGACCAGAGGCTTGGACAGCCTTTTTACAGCTGGTCATCTTCCCATCCGAGCAAGAGAGGACCTTTTTACAGCTGGTTGTCTTCCCATCTGAGCAACAGAGGACACCCCAGAGCTCCTGATCCCATCCGCTGGCGCGTTCCCAGGGACGACTGCTGGTCTGCAGAGCAAGCAGAGAGGTGGTTCCTGTGGTGCATTCCCACATTTCAGCCCCCGCTCACCTGCACAGCCACAGAGGTCCCCGGTCCTGTCCCTGCTCCTCCACGGGACGGACGTACTGGGCCCTCTTCCTTCCTATGCTATCTCCTAACCCCTCTGCTCCCTCTGGGCTCTCCTCACAGTCAAGTCGCTTGCAGGAAGGAAAAAAAAAAGAAAAAGACTCAAGAAAAAAGCTAACTGAAAGCTGAAGACGACAACATCTCTGCGTTTTACAGCTGGCTAAAAACCAATGGGAAGTTCACACGGCTGACGTGTTGATCAAACCTGAGCTAGTGCCTAAACACAGCAGCTCCGTGATTTAACTCGTTCGGCTACACACACGCGTCCAGGGAGAGGGAGAGACGGGGAACGCAGCACTGGGACAAAGATCTCACAGGAGCCCCGACGTGGGCACAGAGAGTCACCTGCGAGCGGCAGAGCTGCGGACTGGGCTCACACCCTTGGGAGTGACACGTTCCTGCCTATCTAGACAGGCCTATAATTAGGCATGCAATGGAGTGCAAAACGTCTATGTTTGTCACATAAACGCAGTAAGCATTTGGGCAGCTTTAAGGAAGATCGCATTAATTACATGCCAGGCAAAGGCTGCCTTTAAAGTTGGTGCCCAGGAGCCGGGATGCGCTCAGACTCCCAGCGCGGGGCTGCCCGGGGGAGATGCCGCAGACGCCGGAGGGAGCGAGCTGTGCGACGGCGCAGGAGCAGGGATGGGACGGGCTGCACAGGGATTCACTTATTTACTTCACACCCAAGGGCGGTGTAAACTAAACCAGAGGGGCCAGGGCGGGAGCTGAGCATCACCACCCCGAACACCCCCTTCCAAAAACTACATTTACGTTCAGCCTCTGCAGCTCAGCCCTATTCTCACAACTAATCGCTTCTTGTTCCCCTTAACACATCTGTCCCCGCAAAGAGATCCTTTCTGGCCAGCTTAGGACGATTTGAACTTCTTTTGTTTTCCACCCCAAATACATCTTTGACTCTTTTCCCCCCTCTTATTTTTGGCTAAATGAAAAATAAAAGCAAATAAACCACTTAGCAAGAGCCAAACTCCACTCCCTTACCACCGATACAACCCCAGGGATCCCGGAGGAATTGCCCCGGAGCCAAGAGCAGAAATCAGCCCGCTGCGTTTTGTAACGTCCAAAATTCTCACTTGTTTTTGCCTAACGCATGCTGACACCAGACAACAGATTACATCCTGCGCCTTTAACGTGCTTTCGTTAAGTTTTGGTTAAAACCCTTTTGCAACTTACAGGGCAGGGGGGAGAAAAAGATACTGGCAGGTCCTTACTATGCATGGTGCGAGGACGCCTTACGCTCGTGCCATCGGAGCAGGGCGGCAGGCGGGGACGGGCCAGCCGGGATGTGCCGGGAGCACACAAACCGCCACGTGGGCTCACGGATTAACCTTCTGGCTCAGCTTGAGGCACCTGGGGCAGAAGTGAGAGGCAGCATTTTTAAAGCATCCCATTCCCGCTCTGGAAAAAAGCAGCAGACCAACACAAGAGGCAGCCAAGGATGAGCAGCGGCCCGCACCGGCGCAGCTGCAAGGGACAGCTAATGTCACAGTCACTGCGCTTTCCCAGACAGGCTATTTTCTATTACAAACCACTCCTACAGCGGTGTTGGGCTCTGCCGGCTGGGTGCAGCCGCGAGCGCGCCGATCGGCACTTCGAGCAACAGCCGGGGAAACCACAGCGACGGCCTGGAGAGTTGGGTCAGTCTGACACAGACTGAAAAGGGGGAAATAACTCCATGCATAAATGCACATCCATTACCTTGGATCAAGTCAAGAGGAGCGCGCACAGAGCTGCACCTGAACGCTGCCTGTTTTAGCTGAGCTGGCAGGCTGGCTGCCATCCGCCAG